TTGTTTACATTGTGGTGTCAGTTGATTAAGCGCTTTTCGGGTAATTACATATACCTCAGTTTGTATTGATCTCTCGAAGCATAACGATGGAGTGGGGCAAGGCAGAGAACCGTATTGCAGTGATAGCTTTACATAAGTGTAATCACAGTGCTAGTCAGATTTTTGAACTCTTACGCGGCCTTCAAATATCGCGTAAATTTGTGTCTAGGACCATTCAGCGGTACAATGAGACGTCCTCTGTTGATGACAGGCCAAGAAGCGGAAGACCTCGTCAAGTAAGGACTCCAGCAGCCATCAAAGCCGTAAAAGCCAGGATTCAAAGGAATCCACTCCGGAAGCAGAAGATCCTATCCAGGGAAATGAAGATTCCTGTCCGGACGATGTCGCGCATCATTAAACAAGACCTAGGGCTAGGGGCTTACCGGAGACGTACGGGCCAGCGACTTACGGCCACCTTGCGACACATCAGGGCGACAAGATCCAAGAAGCTCTTGGAGAGGTACGCAGCTGGGGGATTCCGAAAGATTTTGTTCACGGGTGAGAAAATCTTCACCATAGAAGAAAAATTCAACCGACAAAATGACAAAGTGTATGCAAGGAGTTCACAGGAAGCTTCGGAGATCATTCCGAGAGTTGAGAGAGGCCACCACCCTGCGTCAGTCATGGTTTGGTGGGGGGTGTCCTACGAAGGGGTCACTCAGCTCCATTTCTGTAAACAGGGCGTGAAAACAAAAGCGGCAAACTATCAGAGCGACATACTGGATCCTATCGTCAAGCCTTTAAGTGGTACATTGTTTGCCAACCAACACTGGGTCTACCAGCAGGATTCCGCCCCCGCTCACAAGGCTAAGAGTACGCAGCGCTGGCTGGAAAGCAATGTGCCAGAGTTCATTGCTGCGGAAGATTGGCCCTCAGGGAGTCCGGACCTCAATCCTTTAGACTACAAGTTGTGGGACCTGCTAGAGCAGTTGGCCTGCTCCAAAGCCCACCGTAATATCGAGTCCCTGAAAGCGGATTTGATCCGATCAGCGGCAGCTATTCCTTTGGAAGCTGTGCGTGCAGTGATAGATGAGTGGCCCGCGAGATTGAAGCAGTGTGTGAAGGCCAAGGGGGGACATTTTGAATAAAACTGTTTGATTATGAATTCTAAAAATGTTGTCGAATAAATAATATCTTTCATATAAATATATCTTATCTTGTTTCATTTTTATCATGAGATTATCATGGGACAGAACTTATGGCACGACTACGTAATCAGATACATCAGGAACATCTTCAAATCTGCTTAAAAAATACAACCAAACCATAATAATAGCAAGTTCTTCATTATTAATTATTAATTGAGACTAAGTCATTTTAAAACTAAAATAAACAAAATAAACCTTTAAGATTAATTGATCTTATTTGACAATCTTATTAGATGATTTAAAACCAGCTTTAAATGCTAAACAGTTCCAGCAGTATATGTGTATCTATAAGGTAACTTTGAAACCATCATCTTATTTACCACAAAACATGTATGTATAAATAGACTGGATAGTCGAGCAAAATCGCGCAATTTTACGTACGCAGTTGATTTGATGATTTTGAATGCACGTATTTTCAAGACATTTATGGAAAGGAATTTGTTAGTTGATGAGATGTCTTTTTTATGAAATCATATAACGATGACTCTTACGAATACTTACTAGTATTTACCAGCACCTACTAGTGCTTACTACTACTTACTAGTAAGAATTGCGATTGCGAAAGGTGCAGTGACAACCTAGACATGCAATAAAGAGGCATCCGAAAGTAGAACAGGCGCAAGCATATTAAAGTAGGAAGAAGACGGGGATATAACGATGATTAAAGAACTTGAAGAAGTAAATGCAAATGAGATTGCTGGCCCGACCAAGTATCTTTTATCACTCCGAGGCAATTCCTCTCAGCACATTTGGAGCAGCTTCTTGAACATGAGCGATTCAGATAAGCTTTGGGTCGTTTCACACTTTGATCGAGTCGCTTTTGGTTAAACGTGCCTCGTAAAAATCCGCCTTCAACAGTCGCCCATTAACCTTTTTACGATCCGGTCGGCCGTTTCGCCAGAAAACACTATTAAAATTTTAATGAGACAAGGAAATGAGGCGAAATTTACTGCAAAATCGCTCTTCTCATAATTATCGTCGTTTAGCTCGGGCGCCTGTCGATACCTATTTTGATTTTAACTGGATCGACCTCCTGACTATGATATCGATACCAACAACCCTCTGTACACTACACAGTCGACCAAGCTCACAAGCACGCAGGTTCGCGACTCGTATGATGTAATTTTAGACCCAACTAGCCCATATATTAACTTTAAATTATGGTCTCTCTCTTCCTTCCTCACTTTTTTCTTAATTTCTTTCTACCTGACTTTGTTTAACATCTAAACCAGATAAACCTGACAGGTCTACTTTATCACAACACTAAGACCAATAGTCATTTTAACTGTAACGAACTGTGTACATCGTAAACAGGTCCATACGATCACTCCCTTATCCTCAAGGTATCGACATATCACCGAAATTGTGGACCAATCTGTCTAGGTCTAGGAGGTAGAGCAACAATTTATGGAATTTTATAACAACCAACTTTCTCGGCTTATTCTCATAATTCCAGCTTCACACAACGGTGAGCACTGTGAGATTATTGAAAATATAATGGGTGATTTAAGTTGTCTTCCGTTAGACTCTAACAATGTATAAATAACATGTAAATATTTTTGAAAAAGTTTTCGAATTTAATAATAACTTACGAGTAGAGTATAATCACTTTTATACTGATTAATTATACGCTTGGCATAATGAGATATAAATGAGCGTGTAACAACCTAAGGTATTTCCAGAAGAATGGTATTTTATTTTACGGCATGGTTTCTAAGATAATCACTTTTCTGCAATATACAGGTGTTCTTCGCTTTCAATCACGGCAAAAGCTACTGAATGCAAATTCAGCAAGTTATTTACAGGATGATTCAGACAACAATAGCAGTATTCCTAAGGCATAAACTAGATCAAAAAACAACACGGAAAGTTCCTATAAACATGGGTAGATGCCCCCTTACTAAGATTCAGGATATTGAAAAATCGATAGAATTATACTTTCAAGGTACAAAAACTATACCAACGGCGTAGAAACATAAATATCAACCCTATGAAATAGAAAGCCAATTATTTTCCAGGATACTGATTTGTTACACCGAAGCAGCTGCGTAGCCAAAAACCTAAGCACCAGGGCACCGCGGCTGCTATGAGGAGCATAAGGAAACCTTGTTAATCCAATTTTAGAACTGCCTAAAGTTAGTTAAACTGGAACGAGTCCTCTCAGGTAGATTGTTCACAATCTCGATATCCTAGGGACAAATCAGGCAAGTCTGTCTGGCGGGCACATCGCACGGCAGCAGCATGGAGGAAAGCTCTGAGGAGCAAGGCCCGTTAACATAGCGGTAAAAGAGAGCTAGTTCGGTGCGGAAAGGTTCCGAGATTGTCCATTAGAATTAAGTCGTCGATCAGTCGGACAGCATCGAGCACGAATAATGTACTCGGGAGGCAGCACCCCAAACATGTAAGCAGGACTCGAGGCTAGGTCTTATCTCGGCCTTGTACAGACTAAGGAGTCTATGAGGAGAAAAATACTTCTTAGCCTTTACCGATTTTAAAATGTCTATTACATTTTTCATTAAGAGCCTTTTGGAGAAGAATCGGTTTCAATATTTGAGGTAAAATCCGTAAAAACCTCCCCAAAAATATGAATCACCCGAATAACGTGACAAGTAGGACTAGATGTTGGCTCAGAATTATTCTACGAGTACATTTTGTTACGGGTACTTACAACGTTATTCGAACCGACGGTATTCATAATCTGCTGAATCAATACACGGAACTTCGAACATGAGTTTGGTCCAAGACCTCCAACTTTTGTGAGAACAATACCTTCGTGTGGGCTGAGGAATGAGTAAAAGCTAATTTGCAAAAAAGAACGTTCTAATAAGACCCTCTTTCGTAAAGCGGCTCTTGACGTGTTTAAAGAACAAGGCGTTGTAAATTCTTTAAAATAATTACGCTCAGGTGCCATAAATAAGGGACGTGTTTATCTCGTTTCCAATTAGTTTAGGGGCATAATCTGCGAAGTTTCTTCGAAATACATCAAGAAACATGTGCCGCCAAAGTGATGTTATTGGGCGGCAACACGTATACCACTTACAGTAAAAGAAGCTGTTATAGTATCATCAGCTGTAATACTCGTAATAAAATATATGCTTATAAGAACATGTAACATTGACTTCAACCAGTATCAGGTTCCTCATCAACAAACCTCAAAATCAACTCCTGGGTCTTTTTAAAGATGGCTTCACCTTTAATCTTGCTCTTTTCCTTTCTTCCTTCCTTTTCCCACCATCTTTTTTATATTGTCTGGTATCTGAGTAACCAGGCCCAACACCAACAAACTGACGTGCAAGACTTCAAGCAAGAGCAACTGCATAATCACTGTCAGAATTAACTGTCGCTGCTATATAAAAAATACTATAAAAGTTTGTATGGCTTGATCCAGTTCAATCATCACATTGTGATTATTCAGCACTTAAAGGGCTTCCTGATGGAGTCTTTCTTTATAGCTAGTTGCCACTTTCTCAATTCCTTCTAAAGCCAAAGGAATGCGATCGGACTAAATATACCAAACTATAATATTTCTCCGAAGTTTATTCCATGATCTCTGAATCAAGGAATCCTTAGAACAATCTCATGGTTGACAAACATAAAACCATGCGGCTTTAGAATGTGATCATACTTAGATCATCATTCTTCATAAAGCGAATCTCAAGGTACTTGCTGATATTATACATTACAAAACTGTTCCTTATCCAAAGTTAATTTTAAAAAACTAGCGTGATCCTTCAAATAGTATGGCAGAGTACACAAGGATACAATCAGTTTGTATTCGTATTTTCCACAATACTAAACTAGTCTTCATTTCAGGCGAGATTACCACAAAGGTAATGCTAGACCGCGAAGAAAAGCAAGTCCACGACCTAGTAGCTGAATCCAGAGACCAAGGCACCCCATCACGCAGCACTAGAGTGGCTGTGAAGATCTTCGTCTCTGACGTTAACGACAATGCTCCAAAGATCGTGGACCCTCAAGAAGACGTGGTGAGTGTCAGGGAAGAACAACCACCAGGGACTGAAATAGTGAGGATCAAAGCTGTGGATGCAGACAATGGGAACAATGCTTCCATTACTTATTCGATCGTACACAACAGGGACTCGGACAGCAATGGGGTCTTCAGTATTGATCCAGTTACTGGGGTAGTGAAGACCAGAGTGGTGCTTGATCACGAGGAGAAGACCATTTATCGACTGGTTATAGCTGCTACTGATGGTGGACATCCGCCAAAAAAGGTGAGGGTTCGATCGTATCCTTTTCAATCACTTCGTTGCTAATACAGATATTGTTGGAAATAGCAGTATTATAGCAAATCAGTGTCATTAGAACATACCATCTGATTTACAAAACATAAAGATACGTAAAGAGTTAGAGAAAGTTACAAAAATATAGAAGGAAATAAAACATTTACTTTAGCTCCTTCATCAATAGAATCACTCTATCATAGTTGTATATGGATACATCACATTTGAGAATAGGCGTTATCCTTTCACATGTCATCCTAAAATTGTCCACCATATATATCAGGCTTCTTCAAGGTGTAAGAATCTGAGCGACTGCGTATTAGTTTCACTAAAAACACTATTTGACTTATCCTAATCCATGTATTTCTTCACAGGTTCTCCACATGCTGAGAGTGGAAGTCCTGGACCTAAACGACAACCGTCCAACCTTCACCAGTTCAAGTCTGGTGTTTCGTGTCCGGGAAGATGTGAAGATTGGCCAGGTCGTCGGCTCAGTAGCCACTATGGAGCCAGATAGAGAAAACTCCATAGCTGGAAGCAGTGGTAGTTACGTCACCTACACCCTCACTTCCCTTATGTCTGATGTGATTGGAGATGCTTTTGACATTGACCGCAGCACAGGGTCCTTGGTGGTAGCCAGGGAACTGGACAGAGAAGCTCAATCCGAGTACCGGTTGCAAGTCAGGGCCTTGGATACCAGTGCTATGAACAACCCTCAGAGCAGTGCGATCACTTTGAGAGTGGATATTGCCGATGCAAATGATAATGCACCCAAGTGGAAAGAAGATCCTTTGACGATTACTATCAATGAGAATGCTGAGGTTGGGTCTTCGATCTACAACCTCAGCGCTACTGATGCTGATAGCAGTAGCAATGGAGATATCAGGTAGAATTTTGTTACTTTCATGAAGCCTTTATGGTCAAAGCCATGTTCGACCAATATTTGATATCCTTTTTTGAATCAGCACGATTTTGACCTCTGTCCTCGAAGATATCAACATGACAGGTTCATTTTAAAGATCGAAAAAGAAGGAACTTATCAACTTAAGCTCCAAATGGGGTTTCACACGATTTTAATGTTATTCTAAAGGACTTATTCAACGTGACCTTCCAAAACATTAGACACGTCTTTTAAACTGTGATAGAATCTCAATCATACAGGTATGATCTTTACAATCTCCTTGAAAAGAGAAGGACGATCTTAAGTGATTGGATTTTTGCAGTGCAAAGACCTTTAGTTTTAAGGTCATGTTCAAGATCATCATAGCCTCCAAAGAAAAAAAACCATTTTACATGAAAACCCAAGCTTTAAATTCAGATTTAGTTCTTAGTTCCTCTCATGTTATCATTTTATAACAAGTATACTTCTTCTTTTTAGGTACAGCTTGGTATCCCAATACCCACCTGGCAATACTTTCAACGTGGATTCTCTTACTGGCACTCTGGGACTTTCATCTTATCTAGACTTTGAAACAGTTCAAGAGTACACTGTCATCGTGAAAGCCACCGACCAATCCTTGAACATATCAGAAAGACTAAGCACATCATTGACTATAAGAGTAATCGTCTCAGACTACAATGACAACGCTCCAAAATTCGTGGTTCCCACAACAGCATTTATCAGTGAGTCATTGGTAATCGGAAATACCATTGCAAGGCTGGTGGCCATTGATATGGACAATGGAGATAACGGAAGAGTCTCTTACATAATCTCTGGAGGAAACGATGCTGGAATATTCTCTTTGGGATACGATACAGGGATATTGACTCTTGCGAAACCACTGCCCAGTCAAAAGTCGTTCTTTCTTAACATCACAGCCAATGACCATGGGACTCCAACGAAGAAAGCGAATATGGATCTGAAACTGCTGGTTCAGACAGGGTCAAATACTCCACCGAAGTTTCTTGACTCTCAGTATATTGCTAGCGTGTCCGAAGATGTTTCTGTTGGAGCTGTAGTCACCAAAGTGAATGTAAAGTCTAATATTGCTTCTAACGGTAAGTATTAATGAAATCTGCTTTATAACTATTAATTCAAGGTGTAAGGCAGAAATATAATCCAAAAGCGCTTATCACGGATGTCTCAAGCAAACAAACTATCCATATTACTCTGTACTAGGCATATAGCACCAGACCTGGATAGTGCGTTCGTAGCTATAGAAGACCAGATACTTCTTCCATTGATACTAGTTCTAATTTTTTCTTTGTTCCAGGTAATTTGACGTTCATCATCCCACCGGGCATAGCAGATGATACATTTTCCATCATTTCTCCTAGTGGAAACATCATCACCAAAAAACAACTGGACAGGGAAACAACAGAAATATACTTCCTTCCAATCTACGTAGCAGACCCCACACATTCAACTACACTCTTCGACATGAGCAGTCTAGTGATCAAGGTCACAGATGTCAATGACAACCAACCTGCCTTCCAGCCAGATTCCTGCTATAGACTGTCCATTCCTGAAAATAGTGAAACTGCTGTGGTACATACAGTGATCGCCCACGATGCTGACGCCGGATTCAATGGAGAGGTGTCTTACAACATCATTGGTGGAAATGCGGGGAACAAGTTCAGCATTGATGGAAAGTCGGGGGAACTTACTGCTAAGTCGTTGGACAGGGAGTCAGTATTCAGGTAAAACTCTTCTGCTTATCTTTGAGGTCAACAAGCACTTGCTATTATACCTCATTGTCAGATGACTTGATGGATGGAAGGAGTTAAAATTTTCTTTTGACACTTGTAGTATATTCTTCATAGGCATCAGTAAATCTATACTGTGGTGTGGCAGTGTAACTTTCTTTTTTAAAACCCTTTGTCAGAATATTTATTTTCTTATAATGTAGGGACATGCCTAAAAGTTTGTTTTACATAGTTTTGAAAATAGATGACGTCCCCCATTCTCCATACACTGAGCAAACCGATTTCTGCCATTTGTCATGACTCTTGCCAGCATAGCAGGCGTTATATTAGCAATTTCTTCCTGGATATAGACGCAAGATTTCAAAAAAGCCCATAGAAAAAAATCGCAAACGGCCAAACCGGGAGAGCGGGCACTCCATTCCAACCCGCCCCTAATTGAGAAGAGGTGCTCTGGGAAGTGTTGCTTTAAAACAGCATGCTTTTGAATTCACTGTCACTGCGACTTTTTCTTCAAAGAACCAGGTTCAAATAATTACAGCTGAGGAAATTGTGACTAGATGAATGCAATTGAAAATGGGCTTAACGGATAAGAAAACAATAGCGTCCTCAGGAACGTCTTCGAGAAGACGCTCGCACGCATTCATCCATGAGTTGAAGTCGCGTTCAGAAAGTTCCTGCATAATTGCCGTATTGTAAGAACGATCGGAAAGTCCAAGGGCAGACCCAGAGCGCAGTGGTGATCGCAACATTGAAGCTCTCACACTATTTGCAGGAGATCTAATGGGCCAAGCGACTCCAATTCGCCTTGTCTCGCATAACAATTGATTTTCGGTCCGGGACAGGATCCAACGCGGCTAAATCCGAGCGATTCCGAAATGTGCGCTGGGTTGCAACCAGAACATCCGTTCTGAAAGTAGGCTTTAACGGCAAAAGCACGCTCCTTACTGTTTCAACGCATGATGGTAACTGAACTGTGTCGGAACAAAACTTGATAGTCCCGCCTCTCGAACGAAACCACCAGCGCTCCGCTGCGACTGACCAGACTGAATGCCGCACATTTTAAAAATGCTGCTGCACCTTATAAAGATTCTCCGAAACTGAATTATATCTACAATACTATTAAAACTATTTCCAACAGGTACACCTTAACCATCACAGCTCGAGATCATGGCAGTCCATCATTACAAAGCATCTGCAACCTCACCATCTCCGTAGAAGACCAAAATGACAACGATCCAAAATTCGATATCTCCAAATACTCGATCATGATTCCTGAAGACACTCAAGTGGATACGTCGGTCTTGAAGGTACACGCTTCGGATGCTGATATTGGAATCAACGGACGAATCATCTACTCCTTGGCCAATGAGAGTCATTGGCTCTTTCGGATTGATAACAAGACTGGTGTCATTACCACCACTGGGTAAGAATAGTTTATGACCAGTTGGACTCTTTTGACATTAAACTACTACTTCTTATTTCCAAGCGATACCTTTAGAACACTACGTCCTACTTTCTTTTCTCTAAAGCTTTGAGTTAAAGTCTTCCGCTAAGTTTCCATTGGACTCAATCACCTTAAAGTCTTGCTGAAAATGTCTGTTGTTTTAAGAACTTTAAGAGCTACATCATTAATGTTGTTTCTTACCAAACCAAACCATTAATGTTATTTTTTATTCTAGGTTGTTTGATAGGGAACGACAGTCATCCTACAGTTTCCTGGTAGTTGCAACGGATGGAGGCAAATACAACGCAAGATCGCACGTTGTTCCTGTAACAGTAATCTTAACAGATATCAATGACAATAAGCCCATCTTCACAAGGTACCCTTTCAGAGAAAAAGTTGTGGCTTACATACAACCTGGCCAAACTATCCTTACTGTATCAGCCAAAGACCAAGATGAAGGTATCAATGCCGAGATAGTATATAGCTTAGTACCTGACGGTAACCATGACAAGTTTAGGCTTAATCCTAACACAGGTACCTTAACAGCAACCCAATCTTTGGCTGGGAGTATCGGAAAGGTCTTGTATCTCAATATTTTGGCAACGGATAAAGGAAATCCTTCCAAAAGCTCAACAGGATTGGTGGAGATTGTAGTAGGAGACATACCACCTGGATCACCTCAGCTCCAGTTCCAAAATAGCACGTATTTGGTTACTGTGCCAGAAAATACTGAAAGGTTCCGAGATATTCTTCAAGTTTCAGCACTTAGATCTGATGGAAGAAGGCAGAAGATCCTTTACTCATTCGGAACAGGAAATGAAGATAACATCTTCGTCTTGAACTCCAAAACAGGGATGGTCCAAGTTAGTGAGCCTTCAAAGTTGGACTACGAGCTACACAAGGAACTGCATTTGGTGGTAGAAGCTAGGACCGAAGGAAACCCGGTACTTCATGGGTACTGTAAGATCACAGTGAAGTTGGTGGATGAAAATGATAACTCTCCGAAGTTTACTCAACCACAGTATACGTCTAGTGTTTGGGAAGGAAATACCAAAGGAGCTTATGTGCTGCAAGTTGTCGCATTTGATGCTGACGAAGGTAAATATGTGTAGGAAATTTTTAAAAAGTTTCCCGGTATATTCTTTTGTAAAGATTTAGTCATTAATCAGTAGTTCTCGCATACCTACATTACGTCGATCTCCCCCCTCCCAAATCAATTCATAGCCTCCCAATTTTCTTTAAGCTCTTTACCCCCACCCCTTCATCGGCCTCCAGCACCCAGACAATGGCGTTATCGCCCACTTTGAGAGAGACTGATGTGGATAAACTTTTTGAACGTTTATTACTGCTTACACTTGCCGTTGATGCGACAATAGAAAATACAAAGGCGGATACGGGAGCGGCAATACCGCCGGCGTATCGCCTAATTCCGATGTTTGGACCTTCACGCTTCCCTTCTTTTGCTTACTGAAGGAAACAGAAGAAAGGGACTGGATACACGCCTCTTGACTGACTCGGAAGTGAACATCTCCATACAACACTCAAGTTCACGCTGGGTGCTGGGACCCTCAATCTCAATTTTTGACTCATACCGTTGTGATTTACAACTGGTTTACATTTTGGGCCTCCTTAGCGAAAATCTTACATCATGTTCGTAATTTGTCTTTTTGGAAATTTCTGAAATAATGTATTCATAGTGATCGTCAAACTTTAGTTTACTATCAAAATATATACATATATACCTAAATATTTAATTGATTCAGCATTTTCAATTATTTCACCATTTATCCTAACTGTGATAGTATTTTCATTTAAGTTATTTTTCTATCAGCATACTTTTTGTTCTAGAAGTATCCAATTTTAGTTTATTTACATTTAACCAATTTATGATTTTTGCCAAGTCAGAATTTAGCACTTCCAAAGCAGTGTCTATATTTTCATCTGATATGTATATTAATGTATCATCTGCAAATATCTGAATTTTACAATAATGTAAAATATCACAAATGTCATTAATGTACAAAATAAGTAGTAGTGGACCTAGTTTAGCACCTTGTGGTTACCAACAATCATATTTTTTGAGCTTGATAATGTAGATCCAATTTTGATTTTTTGACTTCTGGCAATTGAATAGTTTTGAAGAATTTTGAATACAGATCTTTCAAATTCGTAGTGATGCAATTTTGTAAGTAATTTATCCCTGTCAGTAGTCTCAAACGCCCTTTTGAAGTCCAAAAACACTGTTTCTGTATGTTTCCTATTGTCCATACATCTCCTCCAGTCGTCTAAAACCATTTGTGTTGCCGATTCAGTTGAGTGTTTCTTCCTGAATCCAGCTTGAAATTTGGTTAAAATGTTATTTCCTTCAATAAACTCGATGATCTGTTCGTAAATAATTTGTTCAAAGACTTCTTCTTAGCTTTAGAAGCAGAACACTGCTTTTTGGAAATTCGCCATATTTTAAACAGTAATTTATCAGGATTAATATTCTTGCTCCAATAATATCAAAACATTCACTAAGCACACTTTTAGACAAAATCTCATTCTTATTTTGCTTTGATTTAATTTTTGATATAATCTCCTTGAGAAGATTAATGTTTATTGTTCTAAACTCACTGAATGATTATATAATGCTAATCTGATCTAATGGGACATTGGTTGGGATCCCCGTCAATAATATTGATCTTACAATGTCGTTGACACTTTCTACGAAATAGGTATTCATTCGATCTGCTATTATTTCTTCATTTGTTAGTACCTCATCGTTGAATTTCATTTTAAATAAAGTAATTTTTCTAACAGGAACAATGTTTTTCAACGTTTTCCACATCTGTTTGCTAGTATTTTTACTCTCATCAATTTTAGCATTGTAATATTTTTTCTTCTCATCTCGTAGAACTGCTACAGATTGGTTTGTTGATCTTGGGTATTCTAGCCAATCATTTCCACTCCCAGTAATCATAAACTTTTTATAATTGTAGTTTCTTTTTAATTTAGGATCCTTGAACGTCTACGAGAGCCAATGTGTTGGATGTTTTCTTTTATAAGCTGTTCTCTTGACTGTAGCTTCTTTCATGCAAACTTCAACCTTGTCCAATTAGCTTGTATAGTAGCTATCAACATCAACAAACAATACAGTGATATCTTGCAGTAAAAGAGCAGCAAATTTACATAGATAGACATATTAGTAATTTCATCCACTTTTTTAGCATCAAATTTACTTTCAACTTCAAATCATATCCATGAATCATCACTGATCTTAGGAGTATGCATAACTTTTGCAAATACATTTTGTTCGTTCGTTATTATCAAATCTATAATTGTACTTAATTGATTTGTAGCTCTGGTGTAATCATAGACTTTTTGCCATAGTCCAAAAAAACTGAGTACCTGTTTAAATTTATTTGCGTAGAAGTCTTTATTATCAAAATTTATATTAAAATCACCCAAATGTATTGTGATGTAGCTTGGATAAAAATGCTTTTCACAGATATTTTCGAAAAAATCTATAAATCTGTTTATATTTCTGAAGAACTTGTTTTCCTTTAAGTAAGAACTTTTGAGTGTTTCATCACTTATTATGCTTACTTATGGCTTTGAAGTTTCACAGAAAAGGATTTACATGTGCATCCCACATGCGTACAAATCAAGAAAACTCGGTACACTGGGGTAACTTGGGACAGTGATTCTAAGTACAGGGTTTGTGATTTCCTTTTTCGGAAAGGGCTGCATTTTATATAATAAGGGTAATTTGCAGTAAAACAGCACCGAAAACATAAAAATAAATGGAAGAAAAGTACTATCTACTTACTTGATACGGCACTTCAAGTACTGCCCTGATACATGTTTGGTTTGGATTTCATGCTTGAGGTTGTCGCTGTTCGAGTCAAAAATAGGTTTCTGTTTACTCCTTCATAAATTTGCAACATTTGGGGTTATTTAGATTTTTCACAACCAGTTTACATAGAAGATCTCATGTAAATTTCAATTCCAGGTGCGAACTCTAGAATCCTTTACCACATAGTCGACGGCAACCACGACAACGCCTTCAAGATCGAACCAGCATTCAGTGGTACCCTCAAAACCAACATAGTACTTGACAGAGAGATAAGAGACACCTACAGACTAACTGTCATAGCCACAGATGAAGGCGTGCCACAAATGACAGGCACTGCGAGGATCCAGATTAACGTGGTTGACGTGAACGATAATCAACCAACATTTCCACCTCACAGCATCATTACTGTCAAAGAAGATACTCCAGTTGGTACTGTGTTGACCCTAGCTACTGCTAATGATGTTGATAGTTATCCTCCTCTAACGTATTCTTTCTCAAAGGACAATGCCAAGAAAGATCTGAGCTATTTCAATATAGACAGGTTCAGTGGGAAAGTGATCCTAAAGGAAAAACTGGATTATGAGTCTTGGGAAGAATGCAAGATCAAGATTGAGGCATCAGATTCCGCACACGTTGCTCAAACTACCCTTACGATCAAGATCATGGATGTGAATGACAACCCACCTGTGTTTTCGCAGAAGACGTACCAAATTAACTTACCAGGTATTCTAATCTATACATTAGCTTAATTGCTTTTTCTTGAGTTTTGAATCAACAAAACTATCGACGTACACCATAACCATAATTTCTCGGACTTTGGGAAGCCTTCACATTGTTGGAAATTCACTTTTTGCAACGTTGCATATTATCTGATCATTCTGTTCATTTTCAGAAGGAGACTCCTCTGCGATCTCAACCATATTAACCTTGAACGCAACAGACGCAGATACCGAAGAAAATGCAAACATCAAGTTCTCTCTTGTCAATCCACAACCTGGATTCTTCATAGAAGAATCTTCTGGAACGTTGAGAGTCAACATGTCAAACATCACTGGACTTACTGAAGATATACTACTGACTGTCAAAGCTACTGACAGTGGGTCTCCGTCTTTACACTCCACGGTACCTGTCAGGGTCAAAGTGAATGGACAATCTGGTACTGGAGTAACTACAGTCAATAAGATGGACTACAAGTAAGTAATCTTGTTCAAAACAGCATATAAGTAAATATAATAGTTACTCTTAGCTTTTTCTGCTGATTGATCTTTTCTTTTTTGATTTTCTATTTTTCCAATTTTCAGAGTGAACGTGGCAGAAAACACCACCAAAGGCACTACAGTGATCCACTTGGCCAAACCATCAGGTCAACAATTCTCTATATTCAGCATCATAGAAGGAAACGAGGATGGCGTGTTTGAAATCACAAATCCATCTGGTGCTTTGATCCTTGTAAAAACTTTGGATCGCGAGCTTCAGGATCACTTTTACCTCAAAATATCCTCTGATATGTCTTCCTCTTCCATAATGCATGTGAAGGTATATGTGGATGACTCCAATGATAATGCTCCGATTTTCCAGCAGTCTGATTATGAAAAAAGCATCAGTGAAGGCTCACCTGTCTCATCATCTATAGAGAAAATAGTTGCTACTGATGCTGATATGGAAGAAACGCTTAATTCAGAAGTCGGATATGACATAACCTCAGGAAACGATGAGGGTTGTTTTAGACTGGACTCAAGCACTGGTGTGTTGTACGTGAACAAAACGTTGGATTACGATAAAGGACCAACGGAATACAATTTGGTGATCAGAGCTTGCGATAGAGGGGTCCCATCTCTTTGCACGCTCACCAACTTTTTGGTGGTGCTTCATGATGAAAACGATAATTACCCCACGTTCCCTGTCTCTGAGTATTTGGAGTTTGTTGGTGAAAATGAGCAAATTGGTACAGTTGTCTTCACATCTCATGCTACTGATCTGGACAAAGGCTACTACGGAGCGGTCAACTACTCCATAGTTAACTCTAACAATATGGATAACGCCTGGAAGCAATTTCATATAGACGCTATGACAGGACTAGTGACAACAGCTGCTGTATTTGACTATGAACAGAGAAACAGATACAGCTTCGTTGTAAGAGCTACAGATATTGGAGGAAAATCTTCAACAGTAAAAGTCAGAATAGAAATAGAGGGAAAAGACGAGTTCCACCCTCAATTCACTGAAAGGACTTACAGATTCACCATGCCAACTTCAGTCGCCCTTCCTTTAGGATACATCGTTGGTAGGGTAACAGCTACTGATAGAGATAAAGGCCCTGATGGAAGAGTAGTGTACCAACTTACCCCTCAAGACTCGTTCTTCAAAGTTAACCGCACCACAGGAGACATTCTATTGAAGAAGAAGTTTGACACCTCTGAGGTATTGATCAGTCTGGTGATCACAGCGAGCTCGGGAAGGCAAGGCTCTTTGTCGAACATGACCGTTGTGGAGATTGTAGCTGATCCACTAGCAGATCCTGGTACCAATCTGGCCATTAATAGAGATGGGACAGTTGCTGCGGCGAATGGAGGTATTGCAGATTGGGCTCTGGGATTGGTGATCTCTCTCATACTGTTGATAATCACTTTTGGAGCTGTGTTCGTGTTCCTTCATATGAGGAACAAGAGGAATAAGAAAGTCAACAAGCCTAATTTGGGGCCAGAGACGGTGTCGAGCTCTAATAACTATGTGGATCCGAGTTCCTTTGACACCATTCCAATCAGGTAAGACATTCCTTGTTAGTAGGTAACGGATTCTCTGTAAGGTATTCGGGGCCTAAATTTAACACCTTTTCACAACTTGGCTTAAGACATTTTATGTTCCGACTGCTAAAAAATATACCAAGACCTCTTGACTTATTGATAAAATCAGGTGCAGGTATAAACAAAGCATGAAAATAGCCGACGGTCGAAGCGCGACAATTTTTCAAGAGGACTCACTTGTTCGGTATTTCATTTAAATCAAGAGATAAATTGTTAGGTCACTTTTTTTTTCTCTTGTTTTTCGTTCGGGGATAAAAATGCTACTTCTCAATTTGTCATTGGAAAAAATAGCTTGTTTTCATTCATTTACATAGGTCAGATCACGCAGCTCTTAATTGAATAGGATACTCAGCATCTCGTTAAAAAAAAAAGAAAAACGCCAGATTGACAGGCACTACTAATCTAATAGCCCAAATTAAATAATCTGAGATTCCCTACAAATTAATTTAACATGTATATTGCTGCTACTGTAGGGGCAGAAGTATCAAAATGTCAAGACGTATCAAACACATTGCATTGCATAGAAAATATGAAGTTCTGTGAGGTTTGAGGAACAGTGAAAAATAATTTCCCCATAAATTGGATATAACTGAAAGGGACATAGTATGCTGTCCATGAATAAAAAATAGTAAAGTTACATGTATCAAGTGAAAATTGTGCAAATCGTGGAACCAACTTCCAGCTTGGGGCTAGGGAATAACAACCACGTAACTGGGAACCGAAAGCAAAACATAACCTGTAAATACATATGAAACGAAACAAGTTCATCTGCTTTGTAGACTATAATTATATATGTAGCAGTACCTTGCTATTTTGAATTTCACAAAAAAAATCACTGCGGATAAAAATAAAAAAATCGAATTACAAGTTACTCCGTCAACAGGAAAACTCACGATTACTCGTTCGAATAATGAATTAAGTGCTTACGCATCTTATACGGTAACTACATATGCGACTTTTTCAGATGTTCTTTGCATTTCTGCTCAAAATAACCTAATAAACAGTTGTTCTTACGTCATGGAAGATATGCTACTAAGTACATATGAATACATCTTCCTACTGTTAACTTATTAATAAGTAATGTATAAGCATTAAAGAGGCGCCAAAAAGGATCAAACGTCAACCGCCGTCTTTGAGATAGTGGCGGAACCAAATAATAACTCTTTTCAATGAGATTTCTAAATTCACTTTTGCATTCTGTTACGGTCTATACCTTACGCTAGTATCTTTCAGATCCCTTTATTGGTGCCCGAAATCAGTTTATAAGAATATCTTTAGGTATAATACGTTATTCCATAGGTTTGTTTAAAAACGAAATCCCGAGTATATATGTATATTGTAACATAATCAGTAACATAATTTCGGTGTTTACAAAATCCCGAACAAACAGAATCCTAACGCATTTATTGTATTTTTTTAGGGGTGGCGTAGCCCAACTTCAAGTAGCTAACAACCAATTCGCTCCCCCCAAGTACGATGAGATCCCTCCCTATGGTGGAGGACACCCTGCAAGCTCCAACTCAGGAGCTGCAACCACTTCCGAACTTTCTGGGTCCGAGCAATCAGGGTCCAGCGGTAGAGGTTCTGCTGAAGACGGGGAAGATGGAGAGGATGAAGAGATCAGGATGATCAACGAAGGACCTCTTCAAAGGGACTCTGGGATTCACAGGTAGGAATCCAAACATAAGCCCGGTAAATGTCATCGACATGACTTGTAACCTCAGCTTAGTTGCTGAATGTGGTACTTAAACTCCTTCGCAGTAAATATTTTTATTAACAACATTAAAATCTTTATCCTTGTCCACAGACAAAATGATGAAGAAGATAATATGTCCGACATGTCAGTTCGGAATACTCAGGAGTACCTTGCTAGGTTAGGAATAATCAACAATAGCAGTGGCAGTAGCCATCCTCAAAGTAGTACTAGGATGAGTACCGATCCCAGAGCAGGGAGCAGTAAGGAGGGATTACATCAACACCAAGGTGTTCCTTTAGGTAAGTTTCCATTCTCAAAAATCATAAGTTACGTTATTACTGTCTCTCACGATTTCTGAAAAGTATGTAACGAGATGCGCTCTTACCCAACATTGTTTTCTGTTCCATATTGACGATAAGTGAACTACACTTTGAAACGCAGAAGCTGACATTAGATTCTAGATTCTACGCACCCAACGTACTCAAGTAACGAATTTTAGTCTAGATTACATATACGAAAAGAAAATGAAAAACTGATCTACCTTAGAAATGGGCGTATAGTCTCCACTGTATACGAGGGATGTCTTTCAAGTTTTGCATATAGAAACATAGTAGGCCGCGCGGATTGAACGTCAGTACTGAATCTTAACCTCACTCTTTAGTAAGCTTAACTTCAAAGTTTCACAACAATACGTGCAGTGTTCTCACTACAGTAAATTTTTAAGTGTCACCAAGTCATTAGAAAAATGAAACTCAACCGAGAACATTTTCGCGCCATAATTTATTACAACTTTCAGAGGCAATTATCGCAACAAGAATGCCTTGCTGTGTTACTGTCTGTTTTCGGCAACGAAGCGCCACATCAGTCGACAATTTCTCGTTGGTATGGAGAATTCAAACGTGGACGGGTGAGTCTTAGCGACTATCCCAGGGTGGGTGCACCAAAAACGGCAGTCACCCAGGAAAACGTCGATGCCGTGCGCAAACTCATCATTGAAGATAGACATGTGACATATCGCGAGATTGAGGCGTCATTGAAGATCTCAAAGACCTCAACTCAAAAAATTTTATACGAAGAATTAGGAGTAAGAAAATTAGTTTCTCGTTGGCTGAAGAGCAGAAAGCAGCCAGGGTTAATTGGTGTCAAAAAACGCTTAACCGTTTCAATTCCGAAAACTCAAAAAATATGTACAGCATTGTTAGTGGTGATGAATCGTGGATTTACTGTTATGAACCAGAAAATAAACGACAGTTTGGGTGTTCCAAGGTGAAGAAAAGCCAACAAAAGTCATCCGTTCTCGAAGTGTTTCGAAATAGATGGCCGCGACATTTGTATCAAAAGCGGGTCATATTGCAACAATTCCTGTTAATGAGCAAAGAACTGATACTGCGGGTTGGTATACCAACATTTGTTTGCCAAAAGTCATCACCGAGCTTCGAAAAATCAACCCCGAAAAAAGAATCATCCCCCACCAAGACAATGCAACCTCGCACACAGCCCAAAAAAAAAGGCAGTATTTAACGGAAGAAAACGTGGAATTAGTGGACCATCCTACATATAGTCCCGATGTAAGTCCTAACGATTTCTTTACTTTCCCGAAAATTAAAAACAGACTGCTTGGTCAAAGGTTCCAGTCACCAGAAGAAGCAGTTGACGCATTCAAAAATGCCGTTTTGGATCTGCCAGCAAACGAGTGGAATAAGTGCTTCGAAAACTGGTTCTAGCGCATGCAGATGTGTATTAATCTTCGTAGAGAATACTTCGAAAAACAATGAAGTCATTCAAAACTACCTACCGTGTTGTTTTATTTCCATATGCAAAACTTAAAAGACATCCCTCGTACATGGCTGCTTTGGTGTGGAAATGCATGTTTCAACCACAGTCTAGGTCACATCACAACTGGACAAGTCTATAGAGAAGATAGATCTCGTCCTAAGCTACGCTTAAGAAAGGGGGATTTTCTGTAGTTGCTAAGCTGTCTATCTGGATTAAGATGGTTACCCAGCGCTCCATAAAGAGGATAGAGGTCAAGATGCGTGAGACAGGCCTGAAAAGTTCTTACACGGCTAAAATTCACTCCAGCACTCTTATTATGTAGCTTAAAACGAGACATTATATTGATTTTTAATGACGTAGGTTTTTTAATATGAAGTAGGTTTCCCTTCACCTTTGAACTAGCTTACATTCGCTTTATGCCACTTGTTATAGGAGCAGAATGAAGTAGCTGCATACTAGCGGCTAGCTAGTGCACAAGTTGACATTATACCGATGTGACATTATATAGGTTTCTACGGGCTCGAATAGGCGTACATGAAAATTTTGTTTTTGAATACCAGAATCTGAAGTATAGTATCTCTATGTATTTTTCTACGTTGAATCTGACTACCCCCAAGAGTGGTCAAAGTTCCTCTGTACTTTTCGCGCTAAATCGGAATTTGTAGTCAAAAAAGATCCCTACACTCCTAGGGCTTACCCCGGGGAGGGACGAACGTTGGGTTAGGGATGCTAGATGCTTGAGCAAGATATTCCCATGTATTTTTTGACGCTGAATCGAATTTGGAGTCAACGATATTGTCATAAAACTGTAACTCATCCCCAAGACCTAAAACTATCTCCAAAAAAGGCTAGAAATTGTTTCTCGGTCCATACATACATACGTTAGAACACGTAGGTGGAGTGAATTTGTACCTTTTGGACTTTTTTGGTTATGAGATATACCATACCATATTCAAGGAAGATCGATCTTTAGGAGTAAAAATTCCGATGTCCCCAAATTCTGATTCACGGTCGAGGAATAAATAGAAATGCTATGCTCCAGCATCTGATACTTGAAACTCAATTATATCCCTCCCTAGCTAGGGGGTGTAGGGATCTTTTTGACTACAAATTCGGATTCAGCATTGAAAAATAGATGGAATTAATATACTGCAGCTTCTGGCATACAAAACTGAATTTTCACGCCTCCTGGGGGTAGTTTTTCGACCCGGGGGTACATTCTGGGCATGTAGGAACTGTTCTGATCCCGGACTCTGATACAGCGTCGAAAAATGCCTACGGCCTACCTCACGGAGCTCGACCTTTATTTTTTTGTGGGGCTGTGTTATCTCACCTCTTCGTTAAAATGTTGCCTAAAGTTTGCAAAGTTTTTATGGAAAAGTTGTCTACGAGTATACCTATATCGGCAAAAAAATAACAATATTCCCTTCATTTTGTCTTTACAGACAGCCTGAACATCTTCGACGAAGAAGTGGGCAACGAGAACGACATCACAAACCTGATCTACGCCAAGTTGAACGACGTAGCGACCAGCGATCGCGCCAGTTCGACTGATGAGTGCGCAGGCGTGAACGGGACCCCCATGGGACCCCCGAACATGGAGCACGTAATGAATATGAGCGGGTACTCAGACGTTGTACCACCTGTCACTCATCAGCCTTCCATGAACGGTTCGCTGAGCTCCATCGTGCATAGCGAGGAGGAGTTAGCAGGTAGTTACAATTGGGACTACCTGTTGGATTGGGGGCCACAGTACCAGCCCCTGGCACATGTGTTCTCTGAGATTGCAAGGTAGGTTTCCATTATCATAACTCAAAACTAAAGCACTACAACATTGATAAATTAGTAGTACTTAAATGGCAGATTCGTAGTTGTTGCTGACGTCACCACAATAATTTAGCAAGAGATACAAATGAAATTAAGTAAAAGCTGACAGTGATACACAAGCAATCAAAAAATGGTGTGATAACAATTATTTATTATATTCTATTGTTAATGTAGGTAAGACAAAATGTATGGGTTGGTTCAATAAATTTAAGTGCCGACCTAATATATAAATATGAAAAAAACAGCACTAAACGTTTGGGACTATCTACTCGATTGGTAAAGATTTCTCATATTATAAGAATAATTAGTTACAACGTAGGAGAAAGTTACTTTGCACAATTGGGAATCAGATTCAGATACGGCATCCCGATTTGGTGAATGTTCTCAAGATTACTGGAAAGAAGGTGCTTATATTTCAAAAACAATCGGTTATATACAAGCTAAAATCAATCATACAGGCTTTTATTTCCAAATGTCAAAATAATGAGACGTATCACTGTTCATTTTAGAATCGGCAACTCTTAAAGATAAATCTTAATCTGAAACGTTTAATATAAGTTACGATATTAGACAAAATTAAGATCTTAATAGTACCTGAGTCAACACTGGTGAAAAATTCAATAATTTATAATGGTCTGCAGATGTATATACAAGAACATTTTAATAAAAAAAACATGTTATGCCTCTTATATCCACATACTTTAATATATTATATTTTGTTGTCAATTATGTTATTAAGATTGATTGTATCCTTCAGGCAGTAAAGCTTATCTATCTATCGGACTTGCTAGCAACGCCTGAGCTGTTGGGTGACTTGTAATGTCACGTATTCCTGTTAAGTGGTGATAGATTAAGTCAAAAGCAACCGATTTTGTCCTATAATGTCCTATCCAGAAGTTAACCGTTTTTGAGTTATTTGAATTTTATTTTTTTTATTTTTTATTCCGATTTCAGACGGTTAAATTTGAAATACAAAAAAACTACATGTATGATTTTGAGTTTTTTGTTATCTTCGCATAGCGAACATTCCAAAAGTTCATAATAAGTAATAAAATGTTGAAGTTTTAAAATTACGCTTTTGAAATGTATGATTTTCTTATTTTTTTACTAACTTATTCGATAAAAAATTCAATTTTCTGTAAAAAATCTCCTAGTAATGAAATGTGTCAAATTATGTAAATAGTATCTCTATCTAACAAGCTTTCATTTGAGGTATAAAAGTTACAACTAACTCAAGTACAAAGTCATAAAATTAGAAAAAGATGAGTAAAGTTGTACGAACGATAATTACGTAGGATAAACAAAAGGCTTTTATTTTAATTACAGTTTTATTTAATTACATTTCCTTTACTATTTTACAGATTCTGCTCAAATTTTAGTCCCCTGTTACGAATACACGCCCGCATTCTCTTACGTAATTCACTTTTGGTATCTCTAGTTGTTAAGCGGCTTTTTATTTGGTCAGCTGCACTGATTATCCTTGTAGTTAATTCATCACGCGTTGGTACGGGCGAAACATCGTACACCAGGCTTTTCATATGTCCCCACACATAGTAATCCATCGGTGTGAGATCTGGGCTTCTTGCTGGCCAGGCAATGGGCCCGCCTCTGCCAATCCATTGATTTGGAAATTTAGAGTCTAAATACGCCCGTACTAATCTACTGTAGTGTGCGGGACAGCCGTCGTGCTGGAACCGCATATTTTGTCTCGTCGCCAATGGGACGTCTTCCATTAATGGAAACAAGTGATTTTTCAAGAACTCTTCATACACTTCTTGATTTAAATTTTCGGGCAGAAAATGAGGTCCAATTAAGTATCCATCAATGATGCCCATCCACACATTGACTGAAAACCGGCTTTGAGACCCCGTCGGTCTTATTTTTCGGGGGTTTAAAGCTTCTTTATCAGCCCAGTAATGAGCATTATGGTAGTTAGTGATCCCGTCCTTATCAAACTTCGATTCATCGGTCCACAGAATTTTCTTAAAATAGTCTAGACCTTCTGTATCTGCATGTAACATGTACCTGCAGAAAGTCCATAACAGAACATTATGTCTGCGTATTCTTCATTTGTAAAAGTTTGCTCGTGCTCGCTATGGCGAGGTCCTGGCGGATCTTCTGCGTCTGCCATGATGATAAAGAAACCACTCGAAATGAACTGAGGAGATTTTTTACAGAAAATTGCATTTTTATCGAATAAGTTAGTAAAAAAATAAGAAAATCATACATTTCAAAAGCGTAATTTTAAAACGTTTGTAGCTTTTCAACATTTTATTACTTATTATGAACTATTGGAATGTCTGCTATGCGACGATAACAAAAAACTCAAAATCAAGTACGCATTTTTTTGTTTTTAAATTTTAACCGTCTGAAATCGGAATAAAAGATAAAAAACTTAAAATTCAAACAACTCAAAAATGGTTAACTTTTGGATAAGACATGATAGGACAAAATCGGTTGCTTTTGATCTGATCTAGTCACCCTGTATAATTTGTTTTGCGTAAATAATATTAGTATTGATTAATGTTTAGTAAAAATAGTACTGATATACTACATTTCAGAAAGAAATCAAAATTTGCATAATATCGCGTTGAAGTGTCATGTTGTCAAGTGTCACGCTATATATGCACCAAACTTGCCTACTTTCCCCATAAGAATATTTTCATAGTTTCGGTACAAAATATTTCCGATTTCAGACTGAAAGACGATACAGCGTCTGTACACAGCGGGGCAAGTGGCACGTCAAGTGTGAAGAGTAAAAACTCTGGTGCCAAGAATGCCCCACCACCACTGATCACTAGTGTGGCACCCAGGGCAATCGCAATGCCAGTTCTAAGTACCAGAGGGGGTGGTGGTGGACACCAAATGATGATGCTGCCTAGGTAAGAATGCTTCACCTAGAAGTACTCAATTAAAAAAACCGACAAAACCAACTGGTTTAAATTATATTCTTGCGCTAATTCTCTTCAGTCTGGCATTGAGAAGAAAGTCCATTGGAATGTAAATTTTTAATATGTTCTTCCAGAATCAAGTAAAATCAGGGTCCAGGAACATGGATTATCGTTTTACCCAATCCGTTTAATATAAGCATTTTTCACAAATGTCGCACACAAATTTTGCGTTAATACACTTCAATCCGAGAGTAGAAACGTAGAGAATTATATTCATTCACAAAATGTTAGAAATTTACAATATATTAGAAATCTACGTTGCCACGGACTCCCAGAATCATAATCAAAATCACGGAACAAGTTTCTTTTTACCGATTTGGCCTTTCAGTTTAGCATGTACATTCACCATTTTTACAAATGTCGCATACATATTTTGCTACAATACACTTCAGTTCGGTAAGGATGCGAAAGTCCGAATCGTAGATCTCTAATATTTTCTCGCAGAATCATATGCAAAATCAAGAAACAAGTAGTACGGGCTTTCTTCTAGTTTACCGATTAACTCAAGCGGCTTAGCATGCCCGTTCACCATTTTTCAACAATAACGCTCATGTGAAAATCTCCATCGAAATGTAGATTTCTAATATTTTGCTGCTGCCTAATAGATGCTAGGTTCTTTCACATTACGTTTTAAAATACAGTATATGGTTAGCCTTCTTCGGGAGCTATACATTGTCAGATATTTGTAAAAATAGTGAAACACCTAAATCCGTTTATTGTTAACTTTATTCTGTTTTATCTTTGTAGGTTTTGCTACTTTTGCTTACAGTAGCATTTCCGGAGGCATAATTACTTGCAAAACCAAACTAACATTTCCTAACAGTTTACAATAACAATATTTATACAGTATATTCGTACCACACTACAACATTTTTTCAAACATCGTGGACTTTTGATCTAATTCTAATAGAATTATATATATTCGTATATTGTAGCTCGTTAATCATCAACGTAATAAGTATTTCTAATTTCAGATCCCCCATAAACCACGACGTAAGTGGCACCTCGTTCAACGCAGCGGCCGCAATGTCGCCCAGCTTCTCCCCTTCTCTCTCTCCATTGGCTACCAAGTCGCCGTCGATATCACCAATGGTGACACCCGGTTTGCTCAGCTCCCACCACGCCATGTCCAGGCAAGGTGGTCAAAATAGGAACAAATCAGTTGTGGACGCTGAGCTCAGGATATGAAGATAGTGTGTGTTAATAGCGCGATAAGGGCCGCTGGGTTATCGGAAAATGTTTCATAGTAACTGCGTATGATCTAGGGTTCGATAGGTCCCTTTATTGTATGGTAGCAGGCTTAAAGTACAATACACAAGCGGGCGATATAAAATTAATATGCAGACTGTTTTAGAAAAACTTCTAGAGTATAAAGTAGATCAAAAAATAACACTGAAAGTTCTCATAGACATGGGTTCTAAAATCCTCCCTAACAGAGAAGATTCTTTTCTGAAATCGAAAAAAAATGATACCTTCTGGAGGCTGAGCATATGTACTGCTGTTGAGTACATAGGGAACTAGGATCTAGATGCTCATTCTCTTACTTGCGCTAAATCGGTTAGTCGAATCGTTTGAATTGACTAATGAGCGTCAAGCTGTCTGATCTCACTCTCGAGCCAAACATATCCATAGTAAAGTCGAACTAGGATACTGGGCGAAAATAATGCTGTTGCAATTAGGAGAGTCATCCTATCACCCCATAGCATTACTTGAAACTATTAACGTGTTTTGTCATTATGCAGTCTCATGAATGGCATAGAACACCCCATATCTTGATAACGAGGTATTTCAGGCCATATGTTCACATGGACGTTTTTCGTTATTTTTGATGTACTTTCTGCTCTTAAAGTATTGCCACCTTTTTCTGAAATATTCTGTATAACTATTGGTCTCCAGGAAAAAAGATTAAGGGAATCGGAACAGTTTCCCATATTCCCATAGAATGTAAGGGTATTTGCCATTATCGTGTCCGTGCTTGTGTATTATGTATCAAGATCTATCCTTGTTCATCGGTCACTTCAAGACTTAATACTTTTTAAGGTGAAATTATGCCCCTTTGTCACTATGGCAATTTTGTAGAAGTGCAAATTATAGGAACGGTAAGTACCAGGAGAAACTACGGCATGATATTTTGTGTTGTAGAGACGCCCCGAAGCTTGACGCCTGGAGTACCAGCGGTGCTTTGACAGGGTTGCCATGTTGGGGGAGTTTTCCCCAAATGTGGGGATTTTTTTGAGGATATAATGTTCTGAGGGAAATCACACGTTTCGCGCGTTTAGATTAATGAACTTTAATTTTAGGGACTTCGAAAAATAGCGATTCTGTGGGATTTTTTGTGCTTATTCTGGCAAAATCCTGTCCGACCCTTCTGGAAACGCTGTGCTTTGGCAGATCCCTCATGAGCATACTTTCCCAATAGTCTATAGTCCGGGCGCTTGAATCAATAGGTATCTGTTTTTTCTCTTTGTTAAAAAGACTTGATTTTTATGAATAATAAGTAATAGGATAGATTACAGCGGCGTTGCCTGGCAAAGGCAACCCTGCTGATCTGTTGCAACAAACACGTGATTTTCAGACTCCTTTTATTGGTTCAATCGGAACGGCAACGGCAGAAAGTTAAAGTTCCATCAAGTTTAGTCGCAGCGTTGCGGATAAACTCTTGTTTATAAACAGTTTAACATCGATCACATAATTCAGGTTCTGCGTTACGGGGACGTTATGACAGTGCTGCGGAAGGCCAGAGTTTATGAATCGAACTTTAACAGCATGCCGTATGATTTGTCATTTTTTGGAGGAGAGAATTTATTTGAAAGACACCGCATATCATCCGCAGACCCAGTGCCCTTCATATTTTACCCTTAGGTTATATTTCGTGATTTGGCTGTGCAACAAATACAGACTGATATTTCTTATTGTGGACATTTCTTTGTGTAATTAGTGTGTAAATATATTTTGTAATGCTCACAGAGGTAGTGTTTTCTCTACCTGCCATTTTTAGCCATAGATAATTAGCTGTGTCAAACACATTAAGTAAAAATAGATGGACGGAGATAAAACAAAAAACAAACTAGTGAGATTGAATAACGGATATAAAAATTAACATGATTTAATTTTTTTTTTTGAGGTAACATGAGTCAAAGTATACCGGAAGTCACACAACACTAAAATTGACCATAAAAAATACTTCACAGAAGTAGCTACTATTCAATATCGTTCCCAAAAATTAATTTTATTTTATTTCTGAAAGCAGAAAAATACTTTCCATTCAAAGGAAATATTTTTCTGATTGAGGGAGCACAAGCATGTTAATTCTCGTCTATCTATTTTTCTTCGCATATATGCAAACAGTTGAGTAAATTATTGAAAATGGAATGTAAATATTGTAATTTTTCTTAATCCTTGTACGTATTTTTAAATTATTCGAAATAAAAATTTAACTGATTTGTATCGAAAAATCTTAACTGACGTGTATATGTATTTTTTAAAAAGAACTGAATGTAACGATACAATCGCAATTGTAAAAATGTACAAACATAGTAAATAAATAATTTGATTTTTAAAATATAATTGACTTTTAATATCACTGGAACCAATGCGGCTTTTGACCTTTATGTGCTGTTAGAACAAATCTTCAACTTTTCTAATTATCTATAATGGGCGTCCCAGACAAGTTTCTACAAAATTACCATACGTGAGCCCCTACCGAGGAACATCCTCCTTCACACGCCTCTGTATATCAATTTGTGGTAAATAATAATTGTTGAACGATACAATGCACACATTAATAGTCTAAAAAACTTAAATCAGTGATTCCGACGGCGGTCCAGGTGGATCTCCAGGGGTCCATGGGAGACTCAACAGGAGCCTACGTTCACTTGAAAAAAATGGGAGTTTCCAAGTTGTAAGTAAGGGTTCACGATAATTCATCTCGTTTCGATAGGAAGGTTCAAAAATGTTGTCAAATGACATTTTAAGGAGGCAGGCAGACGACTATCCCTCATAAAAACTTGTACATTCGATATTAGGTACAAGTTTCCAAACTTGTAACAGTCAGAATGTTCTGAAGATGATATTCAAACATATGTTCAAAATTTGTCCTGCACGATGACTTCAAGAACAAAGGGCCCGGCAACAGGCGAATAGGAAAAGTAGTTTCGGTTAATTTCGCTAAATTTTATATTTTGTCTTTTGCGTCTTGGCGTCTCAATGGCTACAGCCCCCCAAACTCAACGGGACTCAAGATACGGTAAGGTTCAAGTTTGGCTTACATTGTAAGGGAGAATCGCAAGAATCGTACAATATATATGTATGTTAGAAAGAGTACGCCGATGGCATCAGTGACCTCGTACTTGCGTTGCTAGGCAACGAGGTGCTTCTATCTCTTTCTAACACACGTATGGCACGGTTCTATCTCGTACACACTACGACGTCAGTGGTATGTGGTTTTCAGGGTATAGGCCGTCCAAGTCAGTAGAATAAGTTTTCAGCCCTATTTGGCTATCTGCCTTATGTGGAAGAGTAGCTACAGTTAATTGTGCTGAAGTTTTTATATTTTATGTGTCTCGGTGTCCTGAACACATGCCTTAATGTTAACAGGGCCCAAAACTCAAGTGCAGAGTGGCTTTAGTTAATGTGACTGAATTTGTGAAAAATTATCTCGGCATCCTGAACTTTAATTTTGCTTTAAGACGACTTATACGATGGAAATACCATCGTGGATCATAAGCCCATTTTACGAAATGGAAGTTGCAAATATGTTATTACAAGACAAGCTACTCAAACTTAGTAGGTAGTAATGAGAATCTGAAGGTAAACTTTAAAAAAGTCAGCAGGTAAAAATACCCGATAAATATTCTGGGCTCTGCGAAATTGGATTTTTTGATAGTGATTCCCTCCTCGTACCCATTAGAAAAAGATTTTAGTGTTGTTACAAATCTTTCAATTGAAAAAAATGAGCGGATTAAATATTGCGGATCAAAGATGTTCCTTACAAAACTGAAGCCAAATATTGATAATTTGCCGTCACTCCATCAAGTGCATCTCTACCATTAGCAAGAGTTACGTTTTACGTACTGGTATACTAATGTCTAATTTCATTTCTATTAAATTTGCAATCATGTTATTTTAGGCCCGGATCGTCAGTCGTCCCTACAATTGTAGGGCGCGTTTATGGCCTCCTTGATTGTCATACTTCTTTCTCTCCTTCAAAAATTTCTAGATTACACTTGTCCCGTGACAGCGTCAGCGCCCTCCTATTGTGAAGATATGTTTTCTTTTTAAATTGAAGGAAATTTCAGGCTGATGATATAACTCAAAAGCAAGCACAATGCAAATAGATGTTTGTGACATAACCTCAAAATAGAGTTCTGACACGGAGAAGTAGAAAACTATGACAATCAAGGAGGCCATAAAGGCGCCCTACAATTGTAGAGACGACTGACGATACGGGCCTTAGTAAATAGGATATATGAAAATATTTTTCGCACTTTTTTTTGGCACTAGGACATTGCGTCCCATTAGCCAGATCCAATCTTGTATATATATATATATATGTACATCTATCTAATTTTTTCGCACTTCTTGACGAGCTTTAGGAATATTATAGGTATGTAACAGGCGAGGGGGGATGGTCCACTGAAACTAGCATAATTTTTAAAGAGGTCTATGAGAAAAAACAGTGGGAACCACTGATTTAGATCGTCAGAGTCGGACTAGCCCTAATGGGTATTAGACATTTTTTAGAGCCTAGTTTAATAATGGCTCCAACTCTCAAATATATATTTTAGCTATAAAAATAGCGTCAAGTTGGTGAACTTTGCACACTTCCACGCAACATAAATATAATAGTCGCGCATATAGTCTTGCGGACCTTTTTGTGAACCATGATGTGTACTATAAACATGTAGTTTATTCATATAAATATTGATTTTTTATAATCAAATTTTTGATGCCTTATTCAACAAGTCCGTCATGCCTCAGTCAGTTTTCACAAAACTTCAATAAATCATACACCTAAACCTTCCCCATGAAATTCTCTATCATCTAGTGAACACCGTGTGAAAATCCGCTGGGTATTTTTTGAGTACATCGCGTTCAGACAGACTTTATTCGTTCCCTGGACGCGGGCGGAGTTGAACTATTTTAAAACTTAAAAGGCAAATATGCTGGGAAATCTATTTGTGAAATAAGTCTAATAGGTACATAAAATTCCTGATGCTAGTAGGGTATAGATACACTAACGGCAAAAAAATGAGTTCTCACTTCCCCCACCACCTACAACACCGAGCCCTCATTTTTTACCCCAACAAAAAAAATTCTGAAAATGATTCCAACCGGAATCAGCAACATGGTTTTTAATGACGCATATGTCATGTAACATTTTTTTACATCGAAGCAGCCGCGCAGGCAGAAGCCTAAATGCCAGGACACCGCGGCTGCTATGAGGATCTCGAAGAAATTTTGTTAATCTGATTTTTGACCTGCCCAAGGTTAGTAGAACTGGGAAAAGCATACTCTTGTAGATTGTTCCGGCCAGTTCTGTATGTAAGAAGTTAGGTTGGGGGGGCCGAAGTCAAGCGGGTCTGTCTGGCAAGCACATCGCGCGGCAACATCATGGTGGAGATCTCTGAGGAGCAAAGCCCGTTAGTGTAGTGGTAGAAGAAAACTAGTTCGCCTACGGCCGGTCGGTGCGAAAAGGTTCCAAGATTGTCCGTTAGAATTGTGCCGTCAATCAGACGGACAACCCTCCTCTGGACATTATCGAGCATAAATAATGTAGTCGGAGTGGCAGCACCCCAAACGTGTGAGCAATACTCGAGGCTAGGTCTTATCTGAACCTTGTATAGAGTGAGGAGGTCATGAGGAGAAAAGTACTTCTCAGCCCTAAACAAATAGCCTAGCTTTTTCCCAGCAGTTGCCGCTATTGACGAGATGTGTTTGTGCGAGATCAAGTCCTCAGTGATCTGGACTCCGGCCAGCCGAAGTGAACGGCTCCTTTTCGTGATTACAATATTTCTTCACCAGTGATGTAAAAAGTGAAGTAGCCCCGACATCGTATGTTTTGATGGGAATAAACTGAAATAGTTCTTGGATTTCAAGTACTCTATTGCACGGGTATACAAATACGACATTTAAAGCTTCTCAGCTTCCTTGGCTGCATAAAGGACCGATTGCAACATTTCTTCTGAGGTAGGGATAATGGTTTCTTTCGGAGCAATGAAAAAGTCTCCCTTAATTTCATAGGCTATAGAAAGAGGAACTTTCATTTCAGCTTTCACCCAATCCACGCTTGAACCATACACTTCTGAAAGAATAAAAGTATTATCACTGAAATTGTAAACAGTTTTAGAAATACAATCTGACAAATTTATGTGTCATAGCGACAATAGAAATTCCGGATTTTTATAAAAGACCCCGCAACGTGTCACCTCTGGAGCAGGGTCAGGATTCTCGATCTTCAGACCGCAACGCTCTTGATGTGCTTGTAAATTATGGTATTCCCATTTGTCTCACACGAGAGCTGAAAATGTTAGGTTCGAATAAGGTCTTGACCATTATTAAATTTTGACTCAAGGAGGTCATGGTCAAGGTCACACCCAGGTACGACTATATAAGCCAGTACGCGTGTAGTGCAACTATTCAAACATATATCCATGATTATCCAATGGTGACGTTGCTGAGGAAAACAATTATTTCATACCATTATTAGTTTACAAATTATCGTGAGGTTCCGGAATACTTTGCAAAAACCCTTATAATAGTAATGATACACTGATGCTTTTGCTATAAAATAATCGATTATCTAACTACCTATCATAATTTCAATAAACAAAGGAAGCTGTCCTCCAGTTAATGTAATTTATAGATATTTATATAAATGTGGCGTTGTTTTTCTAGATACTGTCTGCGTTGCGTTTCTTTGCTGGTGGTAGTTACCAACTTGGCGTAGACAGAAATCATAGTGCAACTCTCAACCAACCATCTGCCGCAACCGAGGGTATGTTAGTAACATTGAAAAAAGTACCGTTGTCAAGAAGTACCAGGCAGAATCAGCGCGAATACCTAAGCCAAACGCTTAATGCTTTTGCCGTCCGTACGACATATTTTACAGCAATGGTTATATGGATATGATAAGGAAGCCGACCATTGTAGAACATTTGAGAATCAAAATTATATTTTTGAAGTTAAAAGCTAGGTTGGCAATTTAACATTTTTTCGGTTATACTATGTTTAATTTTGACTCACTTCCTTGTTTCATCACCTCAAGTGCGGTTCCTATCTCGAAATGGTTGCCGTTAACACCTTCCAGAGCTTTCGCAGCACCTTCTGCAATTTTGTACTGAAAAAAGCAAGAATAAAAAAATAATAAGTATATTCAATGAATCAGCTACTTCGTTGATATGTAGTAGAAATAATGTAGGTTCAAGAACGATCACTTTTGCACACCCGCTTTGACATTCCATTTTCAGTACTTCAGTACACGCGCGCCTCACGCCACAGTCAGTTGTCTGTTCATGAATATGTATATTGACGGGGGGAAAATGTTTGCGCAATACTGCAATTTTCATTATTATTCCTAGATGTTTACAAGTGAACCTTTAATTTGCTTAAGTGGCAAGATCCTAGGTTCATCTTCCTCTTGAAATTGGTTCGGATGTTTGAGTGAAATTTAATTTGTTATACCGATTTTTTGTTTTAGTAGCACAAACCTGACTCATTTTGCTATACTCGAATTTGCTATCTCACTATTCTGTTGAAATCTCTTTTGAGGTTTGAAAAGAATAATAGAGAAAGCTTTTTGAACAAGATGGAAAAAGGCAAGACACGGAAAAAGAAGTGCACGTCTGCAATTATATATAATAATATATTCTAAATCGTTGCTTAAAAATAAAATCGTAATTGAGCATTTCCATTCATTTTCTGAAATTAATTTTTATAATACTAATATTATACAGGACGCTAAATTGCTTTTCACATAGCATTAGGCCAGCATCTTTGTGCAACAACAAAAGAGAGCTTTTACGACTTGACTCACGCCGCACACAATTGGAAGTACACAGTCGAAATGCTTGACAACTTTCTTTTAAATCAACATAAAGGGGGGCCGATGTTGGTTACCTTCTTTCACTTTCCACGATCTGATTTTCAAAATTTACAACATAATTGAGTAGATAAAGTCAGATGATACTCACCACTTCATCATAGTTATCCAAATGTTCCGTTGAATTTCCGTATGGAATCAGTATCTTCGCTCCAAAACTATGAAGTGAAATATAGGATTGCAGTTTCTCCGGCAAGTTCAGCAAAAATTGAGACAATCCTCTTGTGCATATATCCGAAAATGGATATGGTCCAGGATAAGTTTGGCCACATGAGGTATGACCATCTTCATTAAAATGGAAGTCCCAGTTTCGGTTTGCATCAATTCCAATACAGTCCGAGCCAGGAAGTCGAGTTCTCGTACGTCTCCACATACGATCCTGAACATGATGAAGCGATTGAGATATTTGGGCTTCCATAGTCTATGTAATTTATTGTTTGGTTGTCACGTGCCAAATCACAAACCTTTTCTTTACTATTTTGAACACTTACAAGTAATTTGAATTTCTCTTTATTGATTATAGAGAACCGATTCCTAAGCTAAACCTTTTTTAATGATTTTCTTTTGGCAAATTTCATAGTTTATTGATTGTATCATTTCACACGTATTATATCTTTGTTTCTCAGCAAGTCCCATTGGCAACCAGCGCGCCACCTTGTGATTTCTTCACGGACTATCCGTTTATGAATCTTTGTTTTCCTATCAAGACACCTTATTTATCTATCGAAATACCTTCTTTTCCTATCAATATCTTGGTATCCCTTGTTTTCCAGATTTACGTATGGAGACGCGTCCAGCACCATTTTCATTCCTTTCTGAGGATTTTTTTGGAGATTTTGGAGTAGTACCGTTTTATTTTGTACCTTACGTTTAGTTGTGTTGGTTTGGTTGCTACCCCGTCTATTTTCTAATGGGATTTTAACCTTCAGTGGTAAGTTCTTTTTTGTGTACCATCGGACCACGTCCATTAATGCATGTCCTGAAAAACTTTGTTCAATGTCTGTTTCCTTTTAGTGGGACGGCATTGAAGAAAACCACCATTCACACTCCTCCAGCTTTGTTTTGTAGCTGCCTTGTAGCGGTTTCGCGCCCGATTTTGTCACCCCTTCCCCTTGACAAAAAGCCCTGATGTGAACAGGTAAAATATCTTTTTAATTAAGAATTTCAGTCAGCAGCAATCAATATATTTGATTGTTGCTGACTGACTTTCTTTGGCATTTTTCGTATTTAAATATAGGGCAGTGCCTACATGGCACCTTCTATTATGTTAATTTGTGGCTTAATCCGCCTTAAGTCACTGTGACATATCTCTCCCTATGATCAAGGAAGTGATCCACGAGTTCAGTGATAGACGCATTGAAAGTGATGAAATACACCCTAATGTGTTACGAAACCGATTATATGTGTCTAATAATGAGTTGGCGAATAGGTTAAATCGCCATTTGCCTGGTAATAGGACCACCATAATCTTAAGTTATAACATAAACAATCAATACAGTATTAGATAGAGATCACTCACTAGAGTGATACACTGCAGGTTAGCTAAGACTACTCCGAAAAACATACTTATTGACCAAACGGGCAGACTGGTGTTCCCTCGTAGGATCTTGTAAAAAGCACTTGGCCTGTTTCTATGCCATCATTCTAAAAACCTAAGCACTTTAGTTATTTCTCGAAACCACGGGAATTCCAATTTATCACGATGTAGAGTATCCTTACTCGATGTTATTTCTTAGTATTACAAAACTTAGACTATATCAATAATAAATTAATTGCTTTCAGTGTTTCGAAGAAACAGACTTGTCTTGGAAGTCTGCCCTCTTGGACTTACTCTGTTTTTTGCGGATCTCACAGCTCACACTGCATTTACCAAGCAATATTAAATTCAGATAAAATTTTCTCACTTCCACATCATTTAATCACGATTTTCCAAAACCTTATCAGAATTGGAATTGCTTGTCAAAAGTAACAGTTCAGTGACAAACGTTCCAGTTTCTTTAGATTCGACAATGTGTCGCAAGAGATACCGATGTCGAAAGCAATTCAAGAACACCAACTTGCTTCAACATTAAACACTTTCATGCGACAAATCTTGGATTCGATATTCGAGAACACCCCTCCTAGCTTAAAAAATCTTACTTTCAAAACATTCATGCACAAGGCGTAATAAATTTAGCACCATAATTGTTTTCTATGGAAAGCTTCATATGAAGCATTAACCAATAACTATACTATCAAAATTTCTTTGGGATATGCAAGTCTGTTCAAAGGTTATTTGAAAAAGCTAGTGGCGTCCTTTGGGGGCCTATATCTCGGGAACAAAGCGGTTTTCCGAAAATCGTCAAAGCGTCCCCAATAGCACGAAATATTCACATATTTTTATCTTAGTTAAATATTTGTTTTCTTAAACAAATATTTAATAAATATTTGGAATATAATATTTTTATTGAATATTCATGCAATATCTTTTAAATATTTTATATACAATATTTCTTTTATAATATTCATTGAATATTTACTTTTCAATCATCGTAAAATATTAAATCTCCATTATTTAAAAAATATTCATTAAGTATTTTTGGCTACGGCGCATGTGCGTGTGACCCCGAGCGACCAATGGCTTAATGGCAAGCCGACCTGAGCCGACCTCTTTGTCGGCATCCGTTTTGCCTGTGAGTATCTCTATGATAGCGTGCTTGCTGTGTACTTTATTTGAGTGTTTTTGTGGAAAAGGAAAGAGGGTAGATTTTTCGATATTTACATAGCTTAGATTATCTGACTAGTAAACACTATTGTGCCAGTTGAGTATAAAGGCATTTACAAGACCATAAATAGCCTTGAAGTGTAACAGTTATTTGGGATTCTTGGATTTGTCTGAGAATAGATACGGAAATTATATTCATAACATCCCAATGAAAAGTCATATATAATCGCAACTTATATGCAAGATGCAGAAAAGAATGTTTTTTTAATAATATGCTTCTAGCAAATTACGTCATTATATCTAGAATGAATTTTCTTTATAAGCCCAATTTTATAAAAGCATTACCACAGATTTTGGTATAATAGCCAATGAAAAATTTTCTATATACTCTGAAAATATGTATCAGATTAATGCTTGAAAATCCATACATATTTACGAAAAATATTCGATATTTCATCAAAATATAAAATTGGTATTTAGAAATCTTTCCTCTTATATTTTCCTAATACATTCGAAAAATTATCGCATAAATACATATATGAACTATATATTCGACAAATATCTATAATGAATATTTTATGAATATAAAAGAAATATATTTATTAAATATTAAAAAATCTGACGCTACAAATATTTAACAATCATTTTTTTTTAAATATTTAATAAATATTTAATGGTACCGGGGGTAAGATACGAGTATTCTTATACTCAGATACTCGTACCAAAACGAAAGAGAGTAGTATAACACAATGTGCGCTATTGCTAGCGCAGCGTCTCTTTGTAGGCGGCACGTCGCGTTAACAGTAGGTTATCACAGGCCAACAAAAAAAAAATATTTTTGAAAACTTTTCTTACTTTGACAGCTGATTTTTATAGGTTTTTGTGAGCTAAATCCAAATATCGCCTTAGTTATACTGTAGGTATATGGTGGAATTAATGACATTGAATTAGCATGGTTTGTATTTACAGTAGGGTACTTAAAACAGTGATAAAAAACTGGATTCAATCGTCAGCTGGAACTGGCTTATACTGTCTTTCCCTTTTTTTCTTTGAAGCTTCTTGTGTAGCTGTCTCTTGGATGACTTGCTTGCTGAACTTCTCTATGAAGTGAGCAACAATAGTCCCCCATCATGCTGGTATTCCATCGGCCCTGGTAGCGTTTTTACATATGTTTAATGTCTTGGTGCAAACGCTCACCTTGCTCCTCACTAACATCTCCCAAATTGTTCGGGAAGTAATCTAGATGACTGTTTAAAAACTGAGCTTTCAGGATCATCTAACATGTTAGCTACAATAGTAACAGATTCTGGGTCTTTTTTATTTTCTAAGAACTTTTTAACGACTTCCTTGAAAGTTGCCCATGCATCTTTCTCATTTGAGGTCATTATGGATTCAAAGTTAACGTTAAACATCATTTTTCTAATGCCAGGCCAATAAAGACGCCTTATTTCAGTTTTGCTTTTGAAAGGTGAGGAAACTTTTGGCAGAGATACTTGAAGCATGATCCATCTTTAGTGACAGCCTTTACCAACTGTTTCATGAGTCCTAACTTTATATGTAAAGGTGGTAGGAGCAGGTTTTTTGGATCTACAAGATTTTTGCAGAGAATGTTCTTCTCACCAGGTTTCAAAGACTCCTTCAAAGGCCAGTTCTTTCTGCACCAATTTTGTTCCCTAGCCCTACTGTGAAAGTGAGAAAATATTTTTCAGTGGTGCTACCAACGTCTTCTGCATCCATTTAGACCTAGTTTTTCAATTATTTTAACTATATAACATATGTCCAGTTCTTTAAAAATCGCTTAGTTTAATAAATTTAACTATGAAATATTAAAAAGTGAAGAAATGTTGGGTGATACGGCTTTTTAAGTATCATATTTAGTTTCAGCACCCTAAAAACATAAGAATAAAGTATTTTAAGTAAGAAAGTCTTTTTATCGTTGGCCTGTGAATCCAAATATAACAGTCCAAAGAATCACGCCTTGAATGTTTGGCCTATATCTTGGGAACACTATGTCCGTTACGTTCATGTGTAGCATTGTATATGCTGGGGTAGCATTCCAAGTAAAAGGAAAAAGAGAGCAGGAAGCTGTATTAGAGGTACAAGATATTAACTTACCTTTTCAAAACTATATACATATCCATCTGGATTTGTAACGGGTGCGACATACCAATTAAATTTATTACGAAGCTCCTCAATTTCAGCGTCTGTAGAATGAATGATCTCGTTTAGTATATATGTTGCCACAGCTGGAGAAATCCTGGAAATAAAGAAATTTGAAGTAGAGTTACGTCAAATATTCGATTTTCCGCTATTGGGTCATTAGTAATCATTACCATTGTTAAAATTTTTAATGTCTCAATCGGCAGTTAGAGCAGATATTCGTTATATCATACAGGATATCCATGGGTGAGAGGTTGTCTCACTACAGGAAAGCAGCACACTTAGCATTGCATAGATGTAGATTGAACAATTCACAATATCGACTCGCGTTCACCGAACAAGCGGCAATTTGTGTATCGTCCGTTTCATGTAAAATGCTCATCAGGACTTGTCAATGCTCGTCGAGGTACGGCATGTGCACAGAATAGATAGTCCAGAAGCTACACCTAGGCAAAATGCCCAGTTGAAATTGCAGCCTCCGACACATGATTCTTCCTACAGGTTCGAACTTTCTGATAAAATGAAGGATTGCCCGCGCAAGCCCAGAATATCAAAGATCATAACAAAGCAGTAAAATACGACCCCCAAAAACTCTCTAGTAATAGTTTCTTTACGAACCATAGGCTATATACCATCACAGAAATACGACGATCGAGTTATTTTATTTAATACAGCTGTGATAACGCAAACACATTTGTTTCAACCTATTCATTGCGACTTTACTGTTAATTTAGAAAAGGGATTTGAGTCATCAACTTCCACGTAGGTCGCATGGTGTCGGTGGCAAGGCATTATGGGTATACTCACCAGCGGGTAAGTACAAAAAATAACAACAACATAACGCTACCAGCTACAGCATGATCATCACTATATATCACTATATATATATATATTACATTATATTTAAATTATCTCCAGATAAGATCAATAATCAAATATTTTCCCGTTCTCGTTTACTACTTATTAATTAGGTAATTCTTTGTCCATCGTAATAGAAATATACAGTAATAGAAAAATTGACAGCAAAATGTTCTTTTTGAAACGCATACGCTTGTTTTTGAACACTTAGGTTCACTACAGGATTTGTAAGCTGAAGGTATCAACCATTTTTATAAAATGGTCCGTTTTTGAGACTATTATTGTTTCAATACGAGGAAATCCCTAGAATATCAATTTTCAGATATCTCTCTCTTTTCTCTTTCTCTTTAGACATTTTGGGGAGTGTGAAGCGATAGGAACAGAATTGTCTGTAGGCCAGTCTTATACTTCATCAAATGCACTCCGTACTATTAACGTCTTACCACTCCCTAGCATGCATTCCTGCTTCAATAAATACTACCTTCGTAGCTTTTGGGTTGAATGAGACTTTGACAATACTAAGATCTCTGTTTTCGTACGTTTTTATGTTAGAAACTTCCACTTTGTCAGAATACTCTTCAGCGAGGCCAGTTATCCAGGACTGTATCTGGAAGAATACAAAATCGTGACTTAAAAGTGGTTGCCATTTTGATTTCATTTCCAAACAGATTTGCCTTGCTTACGAACAATAGCCAAATCTGTCAGAGATAGTATTTGTACGTCCTCCAAAGCCACTACGAGTAAAACTATCAAGGTAGATCTCTTAAACCAATAATTTAGGTCTCCTTTACTGAACTTGTCACTGTACTTACATCTTCCAATGGATAAAAATAACTCCAATCAAAGCTTTCAGCTTTATCCGCAGGTCTCACTCCCTCCTCAATAACTTCTTGTACGTTTTTCACAGCAACTACCACATCTACGTCATGATCCAAACCTCTCTGTTGCTCCAAAAATACGTCCTGATATTGAGGAGGTAGCAAAACTTCCGCAGTTTGGTCCACTTTGGTAAGTGGTGTAAAGAACTCTACATTTTCATATTTCTCGAACGATCTAAGGAAGATCAACGCCTCTTCGCTCTGTGGAGTGATTCGAAGGATTGCATAGTTGTCGAACCTCTTAGGTACAGCAGAACAGATTCCCAAAAGCAGAAACCACAGTAGCCTCATGTTATCTATGAAATGAATAGTATAAGTTTGATTCAAACAGACAAGACACAGCAAGCGGCATAGCTTGGTTAAAGACAGGAGCTCAGGAAGCCTGACGATGAAAAGTGGCTCGAAAATGCCATTTTTTCTTCAACGACACAAGGGTGTACAAAAATAAGTGATCCAAGTGGCACATACCTCTCTCATTTTCTGACCTCCAAAAATACCGCCTTGCAACGTTGTATTGGCGCCGAAGACAGTCTAAAAATCATCATTTATACTGGAAGGTAATGTCCCAGCAACAAATTATAGATAAAAGGAACCGCATTCTATAATGGCGCGCGGCTTGGTTGGCTTGTCTCCAGAGGCGGTGGGCTATTGCTGTTGATGAGGTGCAGGCTTAAATTTCCAATATGGTGTGATTTCCAAAGCAGTTGGCATCTTTATTTGAAAATATCTTCAGGCTCTTGAAAAGCAAAATATTTATTTTAAATTTCAATATTTACGAAGCAGCAGGTTGTTTGATTAATTCTGATATTGTAGGTCGGATGTTCGATATTGAATAGACAAGCCGTAAGTGCTAGTCTACCGAACATAGTTACGTATGGAAAATAAACATTCTCATCAAAAGTGTAAATATGAAAAATATTTCGATTACAAAATTAAAGTTGGTTATTTATCCTTCTTGCAACTAATTTCATCAGCTATGAAAAGTATTTCACGAGTATTTAGCTTAACCACGTTATTTGTCTATACAAAAGTGCATTCTGGTCTAGATGCTTCTTACACATACTAGTAGGAAAAATAGTGCTTAGGCGTTCCACCCGTTGGCGATAACACACCTGTCGTTCTGGTTTTCTTGACTCTGTGTAATCTCAGCAACTGCTATACTGATTCTAACCGAGCTTGGAATGGACTATTGTACGGTTACAAGCTTGGAAATGGGTGTAAGGGTGCTAAAACTAGTAACCTGAAAAGAAGGCAGATTCTCCATACTCCAAAAAAAATGGAATATAACATCTATTTTCTCGCAACATACCTGAAAAATCTACAGCCGATATTGGAAGGAATCCATACTTTTGGGGTATATCATGAAACGGCATAAAAATATAAAACTCAAAATACTTTGGAAATATTTGCCATTGCTCATTGACGTAGGATGTAAAACTAAATAACAAATGTGTATCGTACTTTCTTCGTTTTGGTACTACCCACTCATGAACCACAAAAATTTTGCTATTCAATAAAAAAAAGTTCCATCACGGTGTAACTTAAAACTAACAACCATTTAGGAGCGCAAAAACAATGGTAGGTCTTTGGAGATTCGCTTCCTCCTCACTACCCGCTATATCACAGACACCACAGTTAAGCTGCATGTAGGATTTTGGATACCACAATATAATTTCAGACACATCGCCAAAAACTGTCTTAATGACGCAGTGACGCTACTCTTCTATAGTCCATATCATTTCGCCACTACCTAAATGCTTTTTGAACCACCTTAGGCGCTAATACGACGTTGTAATTCGGTAATTTTGAAGGGCAGAAAATGAAAGAGATATGTGCAACTCGGATCGCTTACTTTTGTACACCAAACACATTAAATAATACAGTGGAGTCGCGGTAATCCGACAAGTGTTTTGCAGGGCGAGGTCGGATTATCGAATTTGTCGGATTACAGAGTACTGCCTAGGACCGTCTATAGATAGAATCTTTTTAAATAAGAGTACCGTGTAATTCGACAAATTTAATTACAAATCAAAGAATCTGTTTGAAATACGAATCATACTACATAATTAGGTATATTCAGTGACATTAGAAGTATTACACCCAGGAAAAATATCTTCAACTTGATTTCTTGACAATGAGGTAGCCTTATAGCAAGAATAAAATGACAAATTCTCACGAAATTTGATTGACAAGTAATAAGAAAAAAATAAAAATTTATTGGGAGACCCCGCAGCTGAATACACTCCTGTATTCGTCCAGGCATCGACAAAATGGGATGATCAATGTCTGGTTGTGATACCTCATTCCAAGCAACACGATCTTTTTGGATTAGCTGTGCCAGAGTCTGTGGCGGATGGTGCAAAGTAAATAGTCTCCTCCCCATGTTCGATGGGATTTAAATCCAGTGAACGGGGTGGCCACGCCAAAATATTAACGCCTGCTCCTTGAAGAAAGTCCGAAGTACGACGAGCATTATGGGAACGTGCGTTGTCTTGCTGAAAAAGCACGTGTGGACTGCTCTCTAGATACGGCAGTAAAGTGGTTTGCAGGACATCGTCAATATAACGAGCAGCAGTCATATTGCCTTGAACAAAGAGATCGGCTACCATATGCAATAGCCCCCCAAACCGTTACTCCAACAGTCCTGTTTACATGTCTCTCAACAGCTAATCCAATATCACGCCGTTATTAATGGCGGAGACTTACCCTTCTACAACCATCGTGCGTATCTAGACAGAATTAAAATTCGTCGCTGAAGATGACATTATGCCATTCTGCCTCCCAATGTTGTTGTTCTCTGCTCCAGTTCAAAGTTGACGACAGTGGTCCGCAGTCAGAGGAAGCACTAACCGTGAACCGTATGAAAAAAATCGAACGGCTTTAATACAGAGAGTATGCATAGTAACATGTCTACCTTCTTCTATAACCCATTCGCCAGCGATCTGACGCATAGTAGCAAAAGGGTCTCATAGGGCTAGTTGTCTGAAGCGCCTATCTTGACGCTCTCTGGTACGCCTCGGTGGACCAGTTGGCCTTCTTCGTGTTCCTCTACCTTCTTCTATCCACACACGACACACAGGCATTACCGTCATAGCAGTACAATTAACACGGCAGCCAATTTCGCGATAGGACAAACCGACAACTCGATAGGCAGTGATTTTACCGCTGTCAAAGTCACTAGCATGGTGATAATTTGGACGTCTTCGATGTCGAGGCATTTTGTTATGCTTAACAGTAGTAAATGAAAGGGCAGTAACTAAAAATATCTGTACTACTCAGCTTTCAGAAACTGGTTTCTTTACAAAAAGTAAGAGATACCATTTAAAAAAGGTAAACAAAAAAAGGGCAGTATCTATCAGTAAATGTATTAAGTGTATTTTAGTGATTTTATCTCCATCCAGTTTTAACTATTTTGACGTCCATCTTCATACGTTTTATTTTATTTATATCGAATTTTTCAAGTGTAAGTATTTTATCTGACTTCTGATACCTACTTATGTTTATGCTTTATATTTATCTTACTTATACTTTATACATATTACTGACAAATCTATACACATTGTAATTTGTCCAATGAATCATAAATAATAAATATAAAGAACAAAAATAACAGATACGTAACAGAACATTCACGAAGAACTTAGAAACGATACCCATAAGAAGGATATCAGAGATTTATAAACTTAAGTTCAGATCCACAAATTATTCAAATTAAGTAAGGGTAAAGTTGTGTGCAATGTAATTGGGCAACTTACCAGATACAACACAAAATTAGATATATTTTCTGTGATGTGAATATGCAATATATACCTTTTGAAGTATGTAGATCTATATTACCCGTTGAACATATTTTTCTATTTTTATAACAAAATCATGCCTCACGAAAGTAGTGTATACAAGTTGTAACAACTCACGTTGCAATGTTATCGTACTTCCAAATGTATAAATATTGCTTACTATAAAAGCATAACTTATTTGAAACATCCATACTTCGTGAAAAAATCAGAGGAGTGGATTTCATTTTTGTTCCAGTTATCGGTTGAACGTGACCATGCATTAAGAAGCAGAATATAGGTAATATACCTCAAATACGACGGAAGCTTAGCCTCCAGGGCAGAAGTAGCAATATTCTAAGGACAGGAGTGAGCGAAAAAAATTTATATTTGAATTTTGGAAAGCACTCCGCATTCATAGAAGAAAGTTATGTCACATATATTTTGAGTGCGGAATATTGAAATTCCAGCTTGATAATTTTTTTTTTGAAATTGCTCGGTAGTTTCTCATGGATGACCAAATTTGTTCCGTTTTATTTTTATGACCAAAAGATACAAAACTGCTAACAATATCAATCACATGAAGCTGAGGAGGAAAAGACTTCTCACAAACAAAACTTCAGCACCAGAGAAATCGACGGTACAACAAGGTCTACTCTGCGGCTTTGAAAAACCAAGAGTTCCCTACATTGCTCGAGAAGTAACCTTCAGGTATAACATTATAAGGCGAGTGCTCTTATCACTCGACTTCAACACGACGACATCTGGCTGTGATCTAATTCCTGTTAATGTACTGAAGAGGTGTGCAGCGGAGCTTACTTCAGTTCTTTCGCGGTTCTTCCAGATTTCTTACGAATCTGGTACTTTCTCAGAAAATTGGAAATTTGCTGATGTCCAAAAACGTGCCAAAAACAGGATCTAAGACCGACCCTTACTACTACAGACATGCCGCCCAAACTACATTGTCCATGCTCGATGCTGTTCAGAGAAGGACTTGGATCAAATTTTTTCATTAATGAAAATCATCTGAGGCTCCTAATAGAGAATCAGATATCAAGATTCATATCATATGTAAAAATATGCACCTAAGTTGTTTCGTAGTTGGTTTAACTACACAAACAGCAATTCGATGTTGAAAGATGATATTACGTCCAAAGCAATTTGTAGTCAGAGATAACAGCGTATAAAATCGCAGCGAAAGCATACGTGTGACAAAGGATGAATTAAACAGCAGCAGAAAGGAAACAGTCGGTAAGTCAGAAGCATAGTCGTGCGCAAAGATTTTGAATTAGGGGCTGTATAGATGAAGATTGTATCAAATGAGAAAAATCTAGTATTATAAGGACAAGAACCAATACAATAAGAGAAGCTGATTAAAGCATAACAAAGTAGAAAATGTTCTATGAAGGTTAAGGAGACGAACATTGAACGCTATGGCTAGTTAGGGAGTCTAACAAATTTGGCTGGGATTCTCACAGATCTCTCTTCAGATTCAACAGACGTCTGTCTCTCGTGGAAATGGGAAAAGGCTGTATATGTACAAAATGTTAGAAGAGGGATGACAAATAATTCCACTCATAAGGTAAGTGTGCCATGTACCAAGCCTAAGACATGACATTGTGACTTTTGTCCAATATTAGGCAAATTTTAAAATATAGTCTACATCTAGTTTTTGTGTTGGTGCTCGCGACCATCAAAAAATGTACAGAGTGACCTAAGGTGTATTCAAATCTCATTTACATCCGGCCAAAGCAAACACCAGCGCGTGTTCAATTTCGCGTGCTCCTATTGGCCAGTGGGCTATAAATGACTGAACAGGCAACGAAAAGCAAAAAGGAAGCGTCGATAGTCGTAAATGTTATCCTTATTACTACACTGAGCTTGAAGTTCAGTGTAAATAGTTAACCATAAGCACTGGGAAAAGTTATTTCTCATACCAGTGAATATTTCTCACCGTAACGGCGTCAGCTCTTAGTTTTTAGTTTTTTTTTGCGTGGGTACACTATGCCTTCGATTTTCACAAACAACTATGTAATTACTTGAAAGTTTGTCGATTAGAGATCACTCTCGTCCATCATCATTAACTGGGCGGACAATAAAATTTTTAGCTAAACAGAAATTATTCTGACCGTTCATAGTTTAGCAACGTCCAAGCAATCAACACACACGCTACGTCGTTATCAACAGGTGTGTATTTTGTTGACCTTGAAATTTACGATTCTGTCGGCCAACAAACTGGAAGTGACTAAAAATAAGATAGAATTTCTTAGGCCTTACAGAAATCGTGAAGCGTCGTGCGGCGGTACTTGAGGTATGAAACTAGCTCCTGGGATCCCCGTGGCACCTAACATGGAATGGACTTCGAATTTGAAGCCTGCACACCGGATTTACCCAAACACGAATTTTCGACTAAATCTCTTATACGCAATCGAGGTTGATCTAGAAAACGTGTTGCTTGGGGCAGTCGACAAATTGACGACGGAATCAAAGACCTCGCAGTTTTCTTATGCGAAATGGTTTTCGACTAAGTTAGTTGAAATTCTGCATAGAGCGAGTTTTCAACATGGCGATCAAAAATGTCAATGGAACCAACCTCCAAAAATCCTCCCCCATTCCCTTGTGGAGCCCAGAAATCCTCTAGTACGGGTTATCGAGAGATATGGGAGAACAACACAAGTTTTAAAGTAATATTATCACAGAAGAAGTAAGGATGTCTCTCAGACTGGACAATAGTGATCATGGATTTGATCTTGACAGTGACCTTGCTGGTTATGGTCAAGGTCAGGTAAATTTTTGAAAGTGGTACATCCTACTTTTCACCAGAAAAATGGACAAAGAGAAAAATCTACTTTCATGTAGTATTGAGCATTTCGGAAACGCAATATTTGATGGCCATGGTCAGGAAACCCCTCAACGACCTCCTGTAGAATCCAGAAACTCTCCATTTATGGTGTATTGATAGATATATGATATTATCATAACTTGAAATATTAACAGAGAAGAAGTAAGAATTATTCCAAACTAGATAATACTGGACTTGTATTTGACCTTGACCGTGACCTTGATGGTTATGGTCAAAGTCAATTTATTTTTTTAAGCGGGCATCCCATTTAGCAGTGATATGGCTTATTTTGACTGACTAAGAGGTAATGGGTCTCATCAGCTTGGAATAAATCTTAAAGTGTACGTGTTACTTCTTCTCTGTCAACATTACAAGCTATAATAATATCCTATATCTATCAATACGCCCTAATTGGGGGGCTTCTGGGTCGAGACTGATCATTATTGCGTTACTGCAATGCTTAAAATTATATATTTTTGCTTTGTCCATTGTTCTGTTGAAATGTAGGATATACTACTTTTAAAAATTTACAACAACAACAACATGTTTTACTATTTTTTTACTCTAAAACTTATATTGTCCTCCCATATTTATCAATAGGTCCTACTTGAGCCATGTTTGGGCTCGATAACGGATCGGGGTCGGTCATATTGAAAACTACGTACCTGCCGAATTCGAATTCCATTCATCCAAATGGCAGGTACACAGTTTTTTTTTATGGAAATATTCCCACACAAAAGTCTTGCAAAAACGTTAGGAAGCTTGAGGAGCAACATCGCAACACCTCCGTTTTCAATTACCTTTAGTAAGGGCCAATAAAACTTAACAAACACATTTAGGTAATTTGGGTCACTCCATTCGAATGTTACCGCCAACAAATTCATTTTTGAAAGATACAAGAATCCCGACTTTAGCAACTGAGCAGAATGAATTTTTAATTGCGCTATCAAGACGATTCTAATGGCACCTCAAATGTCAAAATCCACCAAGCCGTTTAAGATATACCCCATGAAATTCAAATTTCAAGGTTGATGTTTAAAATTCGCCATTTTAAGTTTTGAAATTTTGATGTGCCCAGTATTGCTTACGCTGTCAAGACAAATCTGAATATACCTCATATGTTAAAATCCACCAAGCCATGTAAGCTAAATCTTGAGAATTTTTGGGCTAATTTTTTCTTACTAAAATGCGTCATCTTGTTTTAATAAAATTTTAATATATCCACTGTCACTCGCGCTGCTAAGGGTGAATCTATCAACACTTAATATGTCAAAATTTATCAAACCGCTTGACCCGCTTGGCCTGTGAAAAGGTATCGTGGGGCAAAATTTGAAGTAGAAAATTGGCCTTCTAGAACCCCTTGCTTCTTGCTTCAAGTTGACCTCTAATTCGCAATCTACACTTCTGATTCAACCTGTGGTGAAAAGTGGTTATCATTTACGTCTTATATTTAAGGTAATTTGTTGAGTTGAATTCGAATATCACCATCTTCGAAATGTAAATTGTAGTGATATCAAATTTAAAATAACAAAAGCAAAAAGCAACTTTTTTCAGTTTCCCTATCTATAACGCTCTTCGTTCTAACCTATACATTACAGTGGACGAGCTTTACTTTAGCGACAAAATTTAATTCAATTTAATTTTGAGGTACTTCAGCTAAGCGTTGTTGTTCAGAAGAGCTAATGTTTCAGCAAACTCGTCATGTAGCGTGTTTCGAAGAACGCACGCATGCACGCGATATCCTGAATCCCAAACAGCACAAGCAGCTCTTGGTACTCGAAGCGTGGTGCCAGTGGTACTTTCTTCGACCGCGTACGCGCATTTCGCGGAGCCATTCATTTAAAACACCAACCAACCGCAGTTTCACTTCCAATCGCTCTCTCACGATTCCCGTCTTTTTTGCCCTTTTCCGCAAATCATAACAAGAGCCAATTACACACCATAATTATCTCCCAGGCATAAAGCTTTAGTCCAGTCGATTTGTTTTTACTGAAGTCTGTTCAAGTTTTTCTGAAGACTCAACAATTTCATCAAGAAACTGACATAAAATTAGATACATAAGAATGTAATGTGAATATTATTTATTAGATACGTTTGTTTTCATGTTTATCAATGCAAGATTTCCATTTTCATCTTCCGTTCTTACAAAGGAACGAAACTGAACTCGGAGACAGTTTGGAATATTTAAAATAGGATCTCAGAAAACTGACATCTCATTCGTGACCTACGCACACGGGTTTTGATCACAAGGTTTATGAACATTTTTTAGTTTGCCTTTAAATCTTGAAACTTCTGTACTCTGTACATAGGAGTAATTCATCATCATCAAGAAATTCTAAAGGAATAAGACAGCACAAAGTACCATCTATTACCAGAAACGA